AGGAGGAGGAGGAGGAGGAGGAGGAGGAGGAGGAGGAGATCTATCTATGGGTCTAGGCTCCTTCTTTCAATTATTGGCCTATGTCTTTATAATCCTTATAATGCCACGCCTTTGAAGAGGGAGAAGAAGTCTTGCCCCTAGAGGTAGTCAAGAGGGGGTGCTACATAGATAAATTCAAGGTAAAATATTTATGTTTTGTTTCTTTCCTGCTTTCAGTCATTTTCCTCTTCTTAACTTTCCTCATACTTCTTCATTATTATTCCGTTCGTAAAACGGGTACTTTTACTAGTGATAATAATAATAATAATAATAGATAATAATAACAATAATAACAATTACAACAACAACAATAATGATAATGCATGCAATAATAATAATAATATTAATACTTTTGTTTACAAGATTTTCTTGTAATTGATGATATGAAGATGATGATTCAAAGACCGTTATTATACCCTTGTAATTTGTAATTATAAATAATGTTATGAATGATGAAACTGTTACAGTGATGATGCATTGGATAGAGTAGACAAACTGATTAAGAAATCAGCGTTGTCCTGAAACCGTTTTGTTGCAGAAAAACAGATAGTCCACTTCCTAACAGACCTGGCCTCTACCTTTAGGGTCTCGGGTTCGAACATCACGATCCTCGGAGTGAGCCTAGGGGCCCAGATTGCTGGAGCTGTTAGTGCCAGATTCAGAGTTGGCCACATTATTGGTAAGTGATGTAGTCGTTAGGTGGGTGGTTGGCGGGTGCTCTGGTGTGGTTTGCTCCTTTTTTCCCCTATCAATCATCTATCGTCCTTCTTTTTTGTGTTTTTTACTCTCTTGTAACGTATCTAATCCTCGGCACGTATACAAACTTTTATGTTGAAAGGGCTGTAACACTGTTACTAAACTTTAAAAAAGGAGTCATTATGGATTTTTATTTGAACAGAAATTGTACGCAATGAACATAATTATTATGGGGCCCAGGTATCCGCTTGCGAGTTGAGGGATGCTTTTTTGTTGTTGGTGGTGGGGAGTTTTGCTTGTTTATTTGTTTGTTTGTTTATTTGTTTATTTGTTTGTTTGTTTGATTGTTTGTTTGCGGAGGAAGTGGGCTGGAGGAGGGAGGGAGGTGTTCATAGTGTATGCCTCAATCGACATAATGTAACTAAATTAAGATGAATGTTAGAAGGACCAAACCTCAATTCAAAGAATTTTTTAATATTTTTTTTTGGGGGGGTAGTACGGTTTTACGGCGCTCGCAACTGTATACGGTCATATGAGTTGTCCAAACGTAGAATCAGACTTACTCTTCTCACTTTTCTAGCCTCAACAGTACAAAATCTACTTGGACTATCAAGGCACCCCGTAAATAGCAGTTCACATAAAAGTGACAAATCTGCAAAAGTGGGAATGGCCTAAAGACAACTTCAATCAGCAGCACTGCCGTAGTTTGGGCGGGGGTGGGGGGGGGAGATTCAAAGAGTAAGAACTTATATTCTATAAAAAGGTGTGTCACGTTGTGTGAGTGTATTTTTACGTGCTTTTGTGTACATGTTTATGTTTGTTTACTTGTAATCGTGAGTATGCGAGTATGTGTTGCATGGTGTGTGTGTGTGTGTGTGTGTGTGTGTGTGTGTGTGT